GCAAATGACCGAATGTAGATATCGATCAACTAACCTAGTTCACAAACCTTCTCCTCTTGCTCCTCGTCGGCGTCCTTAGGTTCTTCTTTTACCTTCACCGACCCATTGGTTACTGCTTCTGGGTTGCCCTCCTCCTCTTTCATATTATTCTTTTCATAAATGCTGAATCTAGCTCGGCTTTGGATTTTTGCAGCATTCCACTCATTTCTGAGACGTAGTGCAACTCTTTCGGCCAGTCCACCTCCAAGGCCCATTTTGATTTTTTCTTCCACATAATGAACAGACAGAGTATCTACAAGAGAAGAAGTTTGAGCAGGATAATGAAGTATAAATTACAAAGAGCCAGAAAAATGGACGAACCATCAGTAGGCAGTGTGCTTGGACCTTCTTCTAACATGAGTTTTCGTTTCAGTAACTCCGGCATCTCAGCGTCAAGAATCTTCACCTTTCGACCCGTTCTTGAACACTGGAATATATGGTTAAAATGCAGATAATGATAAGAAAAAGATGAAGATAGTGCTATGATATGCCGAAATGGACAGGAAACTGAGTATTTCCGCAAAAATGAAGTGAGCTGAACAATGAAAAGATACCATATTTCATTATAAATTTACCTTATTATAATTCTTTTTGATCTCAGGATTCCTAGCCGCAACAGGTTGTTTCACCTCCTCATGAGCACTTCCGTTTGTCAGATATGGTAGACGCAAGGCATCAGGATTTCCTTCCGGAATCTCAAAGCGAGATGGTTCACCCAGCTGCAAAAAGAAATGCTTGATTTAACGTCAGAAAGGAATGCAGATAGAAGTATAAATTCAAATTTAATATAGAAAGACTAACAGGGAAGTTGTCAGGATAGAGAACCGACAGCGTTGCCCAGAAGTGCTCGATAATAACATTCAGAAGACCAGGCATCTGAGTCAGGCACGGATGCGGATTGGTATCGTCGTACAAGAGCACGTTCAAAGCATTTATCGCCCATATCGCTTCTGTTTCCAAACCACTGCGCAAAGCCATGATAAGACGTCGAGGAGTGGCCTGCAAAAGAATGGGATGCTAAACATAAAAAGTATGAGAAATTTATCACCAACTCACATTTATCAACTCTCTCGCCAAGATTTTACGTC